TATTTATTTATTTATTTATTTATTTATTTATTATGTATACAATATTCTGTCTGTGTGTATGTCTGCAGGCCAGAAGAGGGCACCAGACCTCATTACAGATGGTTGTGAGACACCATGTGGTTGCTGGGAATTGAACTCAGAACCTTTGGAAGAGCAGGCAATGCTCTTAACCACTGAGCCATCTCTCCAGCCCAGTATGTGCTTATATTTAAGAAGCCAAAGTTGACGCTAGGTGTGGTTGCTCACACTTGTAATTCAGTATTTGAGGGGTAAAGTCAAGAGGATCCAGAGGCAGTCTTGACTACACAGCAAGTTCAACCTCATCTCAAAGAACCAAAAAGAGAAAGGAAAGGAGAAAGAAACCAACATCGGCACATTATTGTTAGCTAAATTGCTTAATATATTCAGACTTCCTGGTACTCACCGACCTACTGTCCCTTCTTGTTTTGGATATAGCACCGCATTCCCTTCAGGTGTCATATCTGCTTAGCTCCCTCTTTGCTGCCAGAGTTTCTCAGACTTTTCCTTGTGTTCGACGTCCTTAGGAATCTTGAGAAACAATTAGGTAACATTACAAGATGCCACTCAGTGAGTTTGCCCTGAGATGGCTGGGTTGGGATAAAGAGCACACAGTGAAGCTCCGTTTCATTCAGTCAAAAGAGTACTTGCCACACAAGCACCAGGTCCTGAGTGTGGGTCCCCAACAACCACATACAAACTTAGAGTGCAGCCAAGGCCATCTGTAGTCCTAGACTGTAGAGCTGGTGGGTCCTTGGACTGTGCTGGCCAGACAGGGCCACTGATTTTAATGACCTTTGAATTCAGGAGAGACTCTGTTTCAAAAACTAAAGTACAGCTGGGCATGGTGGTGTAGTGATGAGGCGAGCAGGCCTGCTTTTCGTCCTGCCCAGATCCCGCATGGCTAACTTTACACCCAAAATAACAACACATAAATTGTATTCATTTAAACACTGCTTGGCCCATTAGCTCTAGTCTCTTACTGGCTAACTTTCACATCTTGATTAACCCATTTTTATTAATGTGTGTAGCACCATAAGGTGGTGGCTTATCGGGAAGATTCTAACCTATGTCAATCTTGGGCTAGAGCTTCATGGTGACTGCCTGACTCTGCTTTCTTCCTCCCAGCATTCTGTTTGGTCTTCTCCACCTATCTAAATTCTGCCCTATCAAAAGGCCAAGGCAGTTTCTTTATTAACCAATGAAACAACAGATAGAAGACCCTCCTACATCATTTTCCTTTTTTCTGTTTAAATAAAAAAGAAAGGCTTTAACTTTAACATAGTAAAATTACACATAACAAAACTGTTATCAAGCAAGAATTACAGTTACAATATTTATATCTATTTTATCTTTTATCATAACAAAGGAAGACTATAACTATCTATTTATTCTTCAACTCCATCAAAGACTCCAGAAGGATATAATATTACCTAAGCAAGCAAGAAGTAAGCAACTTCCAAAACTCTAGAAATGACAGAGACATCTCACTGTCTGGACAGTCACCCAAAGTTCTTTTGTACTGTTGGGGCATCCATCTTTGGCCTACAGGCCCATAGTATCCAGCAGACATTTCCATGAAGCAGGAAAATTCAAAGACAGTTCAGTCACTTTTTTCTGTGTTCTGCAAAATGTCTCACAGACTCTTTCATGAATCAGGAACCCTGAAAGATCATCTCACCTTTAGGCAAGTTCAGCAGTCCTCTTTCTGTGGGTTCTTTGTGTCCAGTTTATGCATCAGTCCAGGCAAGAGCAGTTTCTTGCCCAAATGACTAACCAACTCCATAAGGAGCCTCTTTGATGCCCATCTTCCTCTTGAAGTAGATTGGTGCTGCCAGGAGCAGACGTGTCTCATTGTCCTGAAAGGCCCTAAGTTATTAAAACATTTAAAATGCCATATTCTGTAGTCTTTGAAAGATAAGAAGAATGCCTATCTAACTGAAATATATCTCTATATATCTAGAAAATCCAACTAACATTATTACAAGCTTGATTATTGATGATTATCCATATTCCAAATATAGGAAACAACCTATATTTCCTAATTATACATTACATTTTTAAATGAACTACACAATCGTAATACCTCAATCAAGAGCAGAAACACATATACATATAACAAAATTGACCTTAACTTTATACCAATAAGGCAAAATTTATACCAATATAAATTATATCTATATCATATCCCCCTTTAAATGTAAAAGAACATTTATAAACAATATCTGGGAATATGAACGTAGTTATTTCTCTCCAAACTTCTTCCTTGTGTATAGGGGCGCTGTTAAGCAGGTCTTTTATGGTGTATCCTGTGTGAAGTAATTTTTTGAGGGTGTTCACAGCAACCTTTCAGGATGGCGTGGTCTGTCATACCATATTGGGATAGAAGCAATCCACAGGGTCTCATCCTCTGTGAAAACAAAAGAAGAACTTTCCCAAAGCATCATAACCTTAGATCCAAATTTTGAAGTCAAGGTATTTTGAAAATATCTTGGATTAGTTCGGCAGCATTTATAAACAAATATCTTTTAGCAGCTGTTGCTCCTTCCTCAGCATTCAAACAATTCAAAGAGAGCATAATAGCATATAGTATCAAGATTTTCTGTGTATTTTCCATTTTTGTGCAGCTTTATTTTAACCTCTATTTCATTTATTTTTACTTTTTGAGACAGGTTCTTTGTATATCTTTGTCCTAGAATAACTGTAGATCATGCTGTCCTTGAACTCACAGAGGTCTGTCCTCTCTGCCTCCTCAGTGCTGGGATTAAAGGTGTATGCTACCAGAACTTGAACTCACAGAGATCTGTCTGTCTCTGCCTCCCAAAAATTGGGATTAAAGGTGTGTGCTACCACACCTTGAAGTCACAGAGGTCAGTCTACCTCTGATCCTTGAAGTCACAGAGGTCAATCTACCTCTGCCTCCCAAGTGTTGGAATTAAAGTTGTGTACCACCACATCCAACTACTCTCTTTTTTTTCTTTTTTAAGAACTTTAACCTTTTTCTTTTCTCTCCCAAGCCAGCATATATTTTTAACACACAGTAAAACATTTAGAGATTTTTTTAAAATCTCTCTTTACTATATATTTCTTTTTTTCTGACTACATGAGTCTTTAAGGAGAGGATGAAAGCCGTGGCTTTGATGACTGGATCCAGCCCATTCTTTAGCTTTCCAGCCTCATGGCAGAGATACCGGCTGTAGCCATTTTTATTGCCACAACTCTATGGTGTTTCAAGGTCCCTGCCAACAAGTAAGCTGCAGCAACAGATGACACTCAGTCAGACTGCCTGCCTGAAAGAGTCAGAGTTTGCCCTGGCAGGATGGCCCAGAAAGCCGGCATTTTAAAACGGTGCAGCTTTTCTCCTGCTACGGCTGAAAACCAAAAAGCATGTGTTCAGCTTTTCATCAACACTATGTAAGTGTTTCGTGGCAGGACCTCTTAAAAGAACTGCAAGGTTTTGCAGCTAAAGCTGAGTCAGGAAGCCTCTCTTAGATGAGAGCACTTGCTTGCCTCTAGCAAGCAGAGCAGACCCGAGAAATTGCTGCTACCAAGAAAACATGCTTTACTACTCTATTCATCCCCAAGCTTTCTCAGGCTTTCTGTGGATTCAGTTATCCATGTCTGGGCGCCATTTGTAGTGATGAGGCTTTTATATATATATTTAAAAAATGCTGCAAGATCCCCGGCAGTAGTAGGCAGAAATGCTGTAGGTCCCAAATGGTGGTAGTGGGCCATGTGGCAGCAGACAGCGGACCCTGGGAGCAGCCAGTCCCAGGCAGAGATGGCTGCCGGTCCCCGAGCAGTGGCTGGTTCCAGGCAGGGAGACACATGGTGGGCGGGCAAGAGACAGAGACATGGATAGACACAACATGCAGAGTGAGGCTGAATATTTATTCAGGAGGTTATGGAGGAGGAAGGGTGAAGGGGGGACAGAGAGAGATAGAGAGAGAGGGAGAAAGAGACAGAGAAGGGGGGAAGCAGAGAAGTGGGGAGAGAGGCAGAAGCGAAGCTGCCTCTCCGAGAGGAAGATGAAAAAGAGAGCGAGCTCAGGCCAGAAGCTGAAGATCAGCCTGCCTCAGCAGATGGGGGAGGGAGTGGGCGTGGCTTGTCTCTTAAAGAGACAGAAAACCATAATTCTGCCCTATCAAAAGGCCAAGGCAGTTTCTTTATTAACCAATGAAACAACAGATAGATAGAAGACCCTCCTACATCATGGTGGCACACAAGGGCATTGGTGGCGCATGCCTTTAATCCAGCACTCTGGAGTTAGAAGCAGGCAGATCTCTGTGAGTTTAAGGCCAGCTAGGTCTACATTCCTAGTTTTAGACCATTCAGGAGACTTTTTGTTTGTTTGTTTGTTTTTGGTTTTGGGTTTTTTTTTTTTTTCGAGACAGGGTTTCTCTGTAGCTTTGGAGCCTGTCCTGGTACTAGCTCTTGTAGACCAGGCTGGCTTCGAACTCACAGAGATCTGCCTGCCTCTGCCTCCCGAGTGCTGAGATTAAAGGCGTGCGCCACCACCGCCCAGCCTTAGACTTTTTTTTTTTAAAGTTATTACTCCTGCTTTCTTTTGGGGGAAGCAATCTTTGGAGGGAAGTCTATATATGCAGCCTATAGGCAAGGCCAGTGCAGTTGCTGCCCTTGTAGGGTGGAGCATCTACTTGCTGCTCTTGTAGGGTGGAGCCTCTACGTGTTGCAGTCTTGTGCACTTGGAGGCTTGTCTCTCTCTCTCAAGTATCGTCACTATCTGGCTTAAGTGAGACCGTGGCTATCTCACCTTTGGCTAGTGACTATAAAATCGAACACATTAAACCTTTCTGATGAGTGTTTGTCCTTCTGTACTCAGGAGCTGAGGTTAAGCGCCTTAGGCACAACAGAAAAGAAGAAATGATGCTGCATTGTTTTGTTTCTCTCCCAGTGACTCGCGGCACTCTCTGGAAAGCTTGGAAGGAACGCGTTGTAAAGCGACCCGCCACAGCCCATGCTTTAAGACCAGATCAGATGATCTGCGACCAATTTGCATTAAACACTAAAGTTTCAGAAATTCAAGACATGTTACAGGAACTCATCAGCAAAGGCATGTTCAGCAAACTGGAAAACAACGCCATCAAATACATCTCAGCAACAATGCTGAATCTCTCCAAAGCCTTGAGTACAGTCAACGAGGAGCTGAAGCTCTTACTCTCCCAAGTTACCAACCTGGTTGGGGATGAAGAAAAGGAAGAAGAGGAAGAAGAAGAAAAAGAAATCCCACGGAAGGCCTTCCAAGAGCTCTGTGAAGAAAATGAAATGCTTCATCAGAGACTTAAAGAGAGTGAGGAAAAGAGCGAGCAACTTATTCGAATCAAAAATTTCCTAGGACGTCAACTATTGTTCCCCTCTGTATCCTTTAGAACGTTGGTTGCGAAAATACCCACAGGCAAAGATATGGAGCCAGAGGAGATTGACAGCCTTTTAAACAAAGAGCTTGAAAATATTATAGATGAGTCCCAGAAGAAAGGGGTCAGAGTCCCCGCAACAAAGTGGGACTCGACTATGGCATACGTAGCCCAAGGTGAAGCGGCTCCAGCTGAAGGTCAGGTTGATTACACCCAGAAAAAGCCGTACTTCCCAGCTCCACAATCAGTCGAGTCCTTGGCTGCAAATCTAGAGGAGGAAAGGATAGTCTTGGATATTGAGACTAGTGAATTTGATCTACAAACACTGGACATGATGCAAAAAGACGAGAAATCCTTTTTAGAAGGCAAACTGAAGAGCCAAGGAGTCCAGAGTGGAACAGGTAGCATGTGGGATCGGCTCAAGGTCAGATCACAATACACAGTTGGAAAAAGCCCAGTACCATCAGAGGCTAAAATAGAACCCACTGTTAGGCCAAAGGAAAAAGAAGTAGAACTGCCCAAGACCATCCAGCCGGAACCCCCCGAGCTGCATAAACCAGAAACCAAAGAGAAAAAGCCTGTGCCGGGGAAGACTGAAGACACGCCGAGCTCCACAAAAGTACATGGTAAATTACAGTCCAGGACCCCTAAACAGACGACAATAAGCCCCGAAGGCAGGGGTAATCTAGAATCATTTCAAAGAGCCATATTGGCTTTCCTAAGAGAGAAAATGAATAATGTAGGAAAGGCTTTTGATCCAAAGAGTATACAGGAAGAGGAGGACGCATTAGGAAAAGCAGAAGTTGAAAAATTAAACACCATAAAGTTAAAAATGGAGGAATACATCCAAAAAGTGACTGAAACTGTGACTAAAACCTTGAGGACATACAAAGATGTGAGAAAGAAACAATTTAGAGATATAGTCATCAAACAAAAGTTAGCCCTCACTACACCACAGCAGCTTCCTAAGCAGATATCCATGGGTTCCAAGGCTGAAATCAGAAACGTTCTCTTAAGTGAGATGACAGACCCCGTGATTAGGAAATTCGTTCAAACACTCTTGGATGAGCTAGAGGGAGAACGGGAGGGCACAACAGCGGGCAGAAGGATGGAGGAAAAGCAAGAGCAACAAAAGCAGGAAGAGGAGGCCTGGAAAGAAGAGCAAAGACTTCAAAGGGAGAGCAAGCAAAAGCAGAGAGGAAGGGAGAGAGCAGAGCAGCTGGAGGAGTGGAGACAAACAACAGAAGGGTCAGAGCAGGAGACCGACAAGGAGAAGCCGAAGGCCGTGAGAGATGCAGAAGACAGCCAGCGGCCTAAAGGGAGCAAGTGGAAACAGCTAACAAAGACTGAATTCCAGGCTAAAGAGTTGTCAAAGATGTTCACCCAGAGTGCAGTGGTGCTAACACCCAGGTGGATGAAAGTCCTGAAACCCCTGACGAGTCAAGTGCAGTTATTCCAAGCGGATCCTGACGCAGTGGAGCACCCCAAGGAGAAGCAGCCCTCCTCTTCCAGGACCCTCCTTGACTTTGCACGGCCCCTCCCAAGGCCTATCCCTGAGTTGGCCCAGATAGCTTCAGTTTCAATGCCACAGGCTCCGAGTGGTTCTCCTAGTCATGAACTCACGGAAAAAGCACATAGCGCTTCTCCCACAGCAGGACAGGAACAAGCACTAGGGTCTCAGCTGACCGTTCCTGGCATCCTGGAGCAGACATCCACTCCAGAGCAAATGCAAACCCCCCAAACAACTGCTGAACAAGTACAGATATCTGGGGCCACAGTTACCCAAAGAACAGTTCTACCCCTCCAGCAGATCCAAGCAAAAGACATTACCCTCACCTCTCCGGAGGTCCTGGATCAGGGGATCACTCTCACTCCTGAGCAGGCCCAGGCCCTGGGCATCACTCTTACCCCTGAGCAAGCCAAGGCCCAGAGGATTCACCTGACCCCTCAACAGGCCCAGACCCTAGGGATCACCCTCACTCCTGAGCAGACCAAGGCCCAGAAGATCAGCCTGACCCCTCAACAGGCCCAGACCCTAGGGATCACCCTCACCCCTTGGCAGGCCCAGGGCCTGGGGCTTATTCTCACTCCTGAGCAGACAAAGGCACAGAGGGTCAGTCTGACCCCTCAACAGGCCCAGGTCCTGGGGGTCTCTCTCACCCCCCAGCAGGTCCAAGCACAAAGGATTAATCTCACCCCTGAACAGGCCCAGGCCCTGGGGCTAGCCCTCACCCCACAGCTGACCCAAGCGCAGGGACACCTTTTAGTCTCTCAGCTGGCGCAAGCAGAACAGATCACCATCACCCTAGAGGAGGCCCAAGCCCTGGGGATTGCTCTCACCCCTCAGCAGGTCAAGGTTCAGGGGATCAGTCTGACCCCTCAGCAAGGCCTGGCTCTAGGGATGACTCTCACCCCTGAGCAGGCCCAAACACAGGGAATTATTCTCACCCCTGAGCAGGCCCAGGCCCTTGGGCTAACTCTCACCCCTGAACAGGTTAAGAACCAGAGGGTCAGTTTGACCACTGAGCAGGCCCAGGCCCTGGGGATAACTCTCACCCCTGAGCAGGCCCAGGCTCTGGGAATTACTCCCACTCCCAAACAAGGCCCACCACAGGAGATTAGCCTCAGTCCCAAGGATGCCCAGGCTCTGGGGCTCACACTTACCCCTCAGCAGGCCCAGATAAACAAGATCTGTCTTACCCCTCAGCAGGCCCAGGCCCTGGGAATTACTCTCACTGTTGAGCAGGCCAGGGCCCAGAGAATCAGTCTAACCCCTGAGCAGGCCCAGGCCCTAGGAATCACTCTCTCCCCTGAGCAGGCCCAGGCCCTGGGGATAGCTGAAGCCTTGGGAGTCACTTTTACCCCTGAGCCAGGCAAGGAGCAAAGGGTCAGCCTGACCCCTGAGCAGACCCAGGCTCTGGGAGTTACTCCCACTCCCATAAAAGGCCCACCACAGGAGATTAGCCTCAGTCCCAAGGATGCCCAGTTCCTGGGGCTTACACTTACCCCTCAGCAGGCCCAGATAAACAAGATCTGTCTTACCCCTCAGCAGGCCCAAGCTCTGGGCATTACTCTTACACCTGAGCAAGCCAACACATTAACGATCAGTCTGACACCTAAGCAGGCCCAGGCTCTAGGGATTACTCTCACTGTTGAGCAGGCCAGGGCCCAGAGAATCAGTCTAACTCCTGAGCAGGCCCAGGCCCTAGGAATCACTCTTTCGCCTGAGCAGGCCCAGGCCCTGGGGATAACTGAAGCCTTGGGAGACACTTTTAAGGAGCAAAGGGTCAGCCTGACTCCTGAGCAGACCCAGGCTCTGGGAATTACTCCCACTCCCAAACAAGGCCCACCACAGGAGATTAGCCTCAGTCCCGAGGATGCCCAGGCTCTGGGGCTCACACTTACCCCTCAGCAGGCCCAGATAAACAAGATCTATCTTACCCCTCAGCAGACCCAAGCTCTGGGCATCACTCTTACACCTGAGCAAGCCAACACATTGACGATCAGTCTGACCCCTCAGCAGGCCCAGGCTCTAGGGATTACTCTCACTGTTGAGCAGGCCAGGGCCCAGAGGATCAGTCTAACTCCTGAGCAGGCCCAGGCCCTAGGAATCACTCTCTCCCCTGAGCAGGCCCAGGCCCTGGGGATAACTGAAGCCTTGGGAGACACTTTTACCCCTGAGCCAGGCAAGGAGCAAAGGGTCAGCCTGACCCCTGAGCAGACCCAGGCTCTGGGAGTTACTCCCACTCCCATAAAAGGCCCACCACAGGAGATTAGCCTCAGTCCCAAGGATGCCCAGTTCCTGGGGCTTACACTTACCCCTCAGCAGGCCCAGATAAACAAGATCTGTCTTACCCCTCAGCAGGCCCAAGCTCTGGGCATTACTCTTACACCTGAGCAAGCCAACACATTAACGATCAGTCTGACACCTAAGCAGGCCCAGGCTCTAGGGATTACTCTCACTGTTGAGCAGGCCAGGGCCCAGAGAATCAGTCTAACTCCTGAGCAGGCCCAGGCCCTAGGAATCACTCTCTCGCCTGAGCAGGCCCAGGCCCTGGGGATAACTGAAGCCTTGGGAGACACTTTTAAGGAGCAAAGGGTCAGCCTGACTCCTGAGCAGACCCAGGCTCTGGGAATTACTCCCACTCCCAAACAAGGCCCACCACAGGAGATTAGCCTCAGTCCCGAGGATGCCCAGGCTCTGGGGCTCACACTTACCCCTCAGCAGGCCCAGATAAACAAGATCTATCTTACCCCTCAGCAGGCCCAAGCTCTGGGCATCACTCTTACACCTGAGCAAGCCAACACATTGACGATCAGTCTGACCCCTCAGCAGGTCCAGGCCTTGGGGATTACTCTCACTGTTGAGCAGGCCAGGGCCCAGAGGATCAGTCTAACTCCTGAGCAGGCTCAGGCCCTAGGAATCACTCTCTTGCCTGAGCAGGCCCAGGCTCTGAGGATTGCTCCTACCCTCCAACAGGCTGAAGCCTTGGTAGTTACTCTGACCCCTGAGCAGGTCCGGGCCCTGGAGATTTTTCCCACCCCTGAGCAGACTCACACCTTGGGGATCTCTCTCAGTCCACAGCAGGCCCAGGACCTGGGAATCACTCTAACCCCTAGGCAAGCCAAGGTACAGAAGATATGTCTGACCCCTGAGCAGGCCCAGGCCCTGGGAATCACTTTCACCCCTGAGCAGGCCAGAGATCGGAGAAGCAGTCTCACCCCTGAGCAGGCCCGGGCCCTGGGGCTCATTCTCTCCCCTGTGCAGGCCAGGGCCCAGAGAATCACTCTTTCTCCTGAGCAGGCTGAAGCCCTGGGGATCACTCTTTCTCCTGAGCAGGCTGAAGCCCTGGGGATCAGTTTCACTTCTTCAGGGTTACAGAAACAGGGCACTCTTCCTCCAAAGAAATTCCGGGGTTTGGATGCTCCGTTAACCCCTAAACAGGCAGCAACATTGAGGGGCCGTCCTACTACAGAGCAGATTCAACCCCTAAAAATTCCTATTATTCCGGAGTCTATCCGGAGACCAAAACCAGCTGTGGCTTCTAAACAGACCCAGACAGTTGGAATCCCACTACACACTCAATGGTCCCAGCAATTTGGAGTTCCACTTCCACAGAGGCAGGGCAAGGCATTGGGAATCACCCTCATACCAGGGCAGCCCCAAGCATTTGAGCAAGTACAGGCGTTGCAACCTCCCCGTACACCCTGGCAGTCCCCGTTGCTGGGCCAACTTGGTCCAGGAGAGACACAAACACTAATGTTCACCATCACGCTTGACAGAGCCCAGGATTTGGGTGTCATTTTTACGCAGGAGCAAACTCAGGCAGCGGCTGTCACCCTTACCTCTGAGCAGGTGGCAGCATTAGAAGATGCGCTCACTGAAGAACTGGCCTGGAAATGGGGGGGGTTAATCATGCCAGAAAAGGCTCAAGGGGCAGCAAACATCATGACTCCTGAGCAAGTACAAGCACCAGGAATCGCTGGGTATCAGCCAGCGTTTCGTATTCCTCTTACCTCGGAAAAGCCTGCTGCATTGGTTCCTTCTCCCGACAGACTACTTCAACAATCGCAGGATTTTTCTCTATCTATTCCATTGCAGAAATTAAGGCAAACCCCACTTCCTCCTAGGACAGGCCTAGGACTGAACATTCTTCCTGACTCTGAGATGCTTGAAGAACCACACATCTCTCCTACCTACAGAAAGATTCTAACAGACAGAGGGCAAGTCACCCCCACACAGCTCCTAACACCAGAAGTCCCTCCTACCCGAAGGCAGCTCCCAAAACCAGAGACTCCTTCCACTCCAGAGCTGCCCTTTGTTCCTTGGCATTTCTTCAAAACTGGAGACACTCAGCCACCTCTAATACCAGAAATCCCCTTCCCCTCCAGAAGGTTGACACCACCTCCCACAGCTGGGGTCCTCCCCACCTCTGGAAAGTTTCCTGGAGGCTCTGCTGTCTACAAGGACCTCCTACTATCCAGACTCTCTCCCTATCAGCCTCCAGCCATCGGCGAACAAATTCCCTACATGCAAGGACAGCAAATGGTCACTGCTGAGCTCTCAATCTCTGGAGGGCCTCAGAGAATTTCTCCCTCTTCAGTCCCTCAGAAATGGTCAGGAGCTGTTCCCCCTCCAAAACCTTTCCCTACAGAGAAGATCCGAATAGCAAAGGTTCCTGGCACTTCAGAAGAAACTGGGATACTCCAAGATTCTTTCGACATGAAACCACTTGGAATGTTCCAGCCTTATGTCACCGGTTCTGGGATACCAGAATCGAAGCTCCCGCACGTTGGTCTAGAGAAGTCTACTGTGTCACCAACGTCTCTCAGCACTCAACTCTCCCAAACATCACAGGCCTTACCTTCTGCAAGGGGCCAGAGACCATGGCTCCCCGCTATAGACAAGCCCTGGATACTAACCCCAGCTTCTGACACCAGGAAAGCCAAGGCCATGGGGTTCCCTCTCCCTGCCCAGCTCCCTGAAGACAGATACTTCGTTGATGTGGAGGCTCAAAGGAAGAACCTGGTTATATTAAATGAGGCTGCACAAACTTCTGGATTCCCTCCCCAGTACCACACAATTGCCAGGAATCTCATAATAGAACTGCTTCATATGAATACAGTTAGGCTGGGGTATCTGTGCCGCAAGTATGTTGCCTATAGGCTGATCCAGCTGGCCAGGTAGGTACAGTTAGTATACATAACCATTTTTTCTGGTATAATCCTGATGTTGAGCAACTTTCTTCACTGCCTAGAATTTTCATGTTTGTCATGCCATGTGTTCTATTTTTTTTTCAAAACAGGGTTTCTCTGTGGTTTTGGAGCCTGTCCTGGAACTAGCTCTGTAGACCAGGCTGGCCTCTAACTCACAGAGATCCGCCTGCCTCTGCCTCCTGAGTGCTGGGATTAAAGGCATGCACCACCACTGCCTGGCTTAGTTTTTTGTTTTTATTTTACATGTATGAGCATTTTGTTTGCAGCATGCATAGGCCTGTGCTCAAAGAGGATGTTGGATCTACTGAAGACAGAGTTATAGTCGGTTGTAAGCTATGATGTGTGCTAGGGACCAAACTTGGGTCCTCTGGAAGAGCAGCAACTGCTCTTAACCACTGAGCCCTCCCTCTAGGCCCATATCATATGCTGTGATCATTAAGGGTCTTCAGGATGGAGGTTTAAGACAATAAAAGGAAGTCAGCAGTGGTGGTACATCCTTGCAATTTTACTGCTTGGGAGCTGGAGGCAGAAGGAGTAGGTATGTTTAGCATTCAGGGCTTAGAGTGTGTGTGTGTGTGTGTGTGTGTGTGTGTGTGTGTGTTGCACAGGGAAGCTAGAGGAGACTGGAAGATTCCAGATGTTGTTCTCTGTCCCCCTACGCCTGTTCTGCATCTCTCCTGGAACCTTCCCATGAGGCTGGCCAGGACAACCTGTTCCCCTGCCAATACTCTACCAATACGACGGGGATTACAGGCATGTGCAGCAGCCTGATCGACCTATTTATTCTGCTTTGGTTTTGAGATAAGGCTCCCCCTGAAGCCCACACTGACCTGAAATTCACTGTGTAGCCCGGATGAGTAGCAGTACAGCCATGGGCCATCAGACGTGGCTCTGCATCACATCTGAAGGGGGAAATTAACACCTTGTGCTACCAAAGCAACTTTATTGTTGGTTCCGTTTTTTTTTTTTTTAATATCAAAAAAGGCCGGGCATGGTAGTCTACACCTGCAGTTACTGTAAAGATTTTGGGTCAGAGGGACTTTGGCAGCAGGTGAGAGCCAGATGCCCTCACTCGCCAGAAGGCAAAGCTGAAGTGAAGAGTTTTATTGAGATAAAGGGGATGGGGAGGGAAGAGAGAAAGAGAAAGAGAGACAGAGACTTAGAGAAGGAGAACCTGGTCTACATAGTGAGTTCCAGGCAAGCCAGGAGAACTTGTCTCACAACCAAACAAAAGTCTTTCTCAGTTTGTTCTCCTTGCACGTTTGGCTCACACTTCTCTACTATGAGATCTGGGTCTCTTTTTTTTCCTTCCTAGTTACTTGGTCACTACTTGTAGAATAATACACCTTTCCTCCCCCCTGAGGGAATTTAAATTTAACTATAAATTCTTTGAGGGTTTTTTGTTTGTTTTTGTTGAGGCAGCGTCTCCCATAGTCCAGAACGACATATACTCACTTGTAGTCTGTGCTGGCCTCAAACTCATGACAGTCCTCCTACTTTGGTGTCCTGAGTGCTGGATAACAGCTACCATGCCCAGCTATCCCTCTCACCTCCCAGTATTTAAAAAATACTTTTAGTAGTTTCTATAATCAATACCAGATAGATAACCCCTTAAATATTTAATGTTACCCTGGTCTGGACGGAAAAAATTTAAACCTAACATTTCTAGACTAACGCCACCCGGGTTTTAAAATTGTTTCTGTTTGGTTTTGTTTTGTTAAGATGACAGGGAAGGGACCCAGGGTTTTGGAAACACTAAGTTAGTGTTGTTGCCATTGCTCTAACAACCCAGCTCTTCTTTTCCTTCAACTTTTATTTAATTCTGTGAGTATGGATGTTTTGCTTACATTTATGTCCTTGTCCCATGTGCATACCTGAGCCATCTCTGCAGCCCCAAAGACTGTCTAATCTTTAAACATCCAGTTTTTGTGTCTTGCATATGAATTGGTTAGTACCCCCAGAACTGTTTAAAAACAGTGATGATAGTGGTCTGAGGCATAGCTCTGTGGTAGAACACGTTTTCAGCATGCGTGCATGTGTGCAGCATGTGTTCATGTGGGCAACATGTGCACAGCATGCGTACATGTGTAGCATGTGTGCATTGTAGCATTGTGCATGTGTTCATGCGTGCAACATGTGTAGCAGGTGTGCGTGTGCTGCATGTGCAGCATGTGTTCGTGTGTGCAACATGTGTGTAGCATGTGTGCAGCATGTGTGCGTGTGTGCAGCATGTGTGCAGCAGGTTGCAGCAGGCATGCAGGTGTGCAGCCGGTTGCAGCAGGTGTGCATGTGCGCAGCATGTGTGAGATAGTGGGTTCCACCCCTACTGAGCACTACAGAATTTGTTTGTTTGTTTGTTTTCCAGACAGGGTTTCTCTGCATAGCCCTGGTTGTCCTGGAGCTTACTCCGTGGAGCAGGCTGGCCTTGAACTCACAGAGGTCAGCCTGCCTCTGCCTCTTGAGCACCCGGATTAAAGGCGTGCACCAACACCAACCACTCAAATTTATTCCTATATAGGAATTAGATAAAGTCCTCGTTTAACAAGTCTCCCACCTGCTCTCATACCTCTTAGGAACTCAAAATGAGATAGGAATGGAACGCAACAGAAGTTAGGTTTGCTCTGGTAGCTTTGGGAACTATATGGATCTAATTCTTGACTTTTTTCAAGAAACAACATAACCAAACGATTAAAAGCCATCCAAAATACTGGGAAAGGATATGAGGCTCAGAACCTGTACATCATGCTGGACAGAATTGATCAATACCAGAAGAGGGTGATGCGGTTCTGGACAGACAAGCAGAAGGAACTAGAACAGAGGCGGAAGCAGTGCCTGTGGTCCATGATGCAGGTATTCAGCCAGGTAACTTTACCTTCTGCTGCTCCTTTCCAGTGTGAGACGAAGAAGTAAAGGTTGTTTTAGTTTGTTTGAGAGACGATCTTTCTCCTGTGCAACTATGGCTGCCTTGGAACCCACTATGTAGATCAGGCTGGCCTCGACTCATAGAGATCCACCTGCCTCTGCCCCCGAGTGCTGGGATTACAGGTGTGTGCCACAACTGCCTGACTCATTAACATTATTAATAGAGGTCAGCCTGGGCTACATAATGAGTTCCAGGTTATCCAAGGTTTCCTAGTAATACCTTGTCTCAAAAAAAAAAAAAAGACAAAATAATTGATTAATTGCGAGCTTTACTCGCTTCTTCGTGTAGGACAGACTTCTGATCATTGCTGGAGTAAAGTAAGATATTTTGAATTTTCCATAACAATTATATTTTAAATATTATAGCTCTGTTAAACAAAGAGCAAAAACACCTCTAATTTGGGTTGGGTAAATATGGTCTTTGTAGGTGGAGTAAGGAAGGTGGGGTGTCAGTAGCAACAGCGACCTGACAGGAGCAAGAGCAGTGCTCCGGACATTTCAGGGGAGGGGCAGGCTCTGAGCAGCGGTTCTCAGCCTGTGGGTGCGACCCCTCGAGCTGTATGCTACATGGGTCACCTTAGACTATCGGCAAATACAGATATGTTCATTATGATTCATAACAGCAGCAAAATTAGAGTTATGAAATAGAAATGAAAATAATTTTATGGTTGGGGTCCCCCCACAACATGAGAAGCTGTACGAAAGGCTGAGAACCTCTAAGCTAGAGTCAGGTGGTGATTGTGGGTGTCAAGGCCTAAGGAAGGAAATGGTAAAGGGAGAGGGCTCTCTCTGGTCAGGGTACGGAAGCAGACAGACAGCAAGTGCAAGCAAGGCCAGGCTGGGCTACATATATAGAATTTCAGACCATGGTCTCAGCTCCCCCGTCCTCCAAAGGGAATCATGGCTGTGGACACGTAGGTCTGCTGCTTGGCTGCTGTCTGGGTTGAAAGCCAAACTTCCTAACATCTCTGGCTTTCCCTGATGCTCCCTTTTACACTTCACTTCCCCCAGAGGCTGAGGCCTGAGAAATGCGCTTTCTTTTCTGTATCTATTAACTTGTTCTTGTTGATTTTGCTTCTAGATCGAAAAGGTGTTTAAACTAAATCTTAGCCAGCCTGTGCCCTTGGTCTCTGGCTTTAAGCAGATACCCGATTTTACCAAAACTCAAAGTCCAGTCTTGGAGTTATTCACTGAAGACAACAAAAAGCCCGACATTTTCAAGACCTTTGGGTATGTAGTATTAAGCTTTCATGGCATGGTATGTAATATTAAACTTTCAGTGATAAGTGGTACACAATGTCTAATTTTTTTTTTATTAAAACTATTTTAGTTTTACCCAAGGGCTCTCCTTTCCCACACTTAGGATGTGGTGCAAGAGTGTGAATGTATTTATTTCCTTAGTGAATTCAGCAAGGTGTATTGTTTTGTCTGTTTTGAGAAGAAACATTGTTTCATTTGTGTAGCCCTGGCTAACCTGGACCTCCTCTGCCTTCTGAGTGCTGGAATAAAGCTATATGCCGTTATGCCTGCTTTAGCAGGGTTTATTTACATATATTTCTACTTAAATATTTGGCATTTAATTTTGAGTTCTTTTTTTAAAAAATAAGCAAGATGGCTTAGGCGATTTGGGTGCTCTCATTGGTCACACCTTTGGGTCTAAACTCTAGGACCTACACAGTGGAAGGAGACAACCAAAGCCACAGAGTTGTCCTGACCACCTCTCCCTCCCTCTGCCCCTCTTTCTCTTATTATAATAAAGGTTTTTTGTTTGTTTGTTTTTGTTTTGTTTTGTTTTGTTTTTGAAGGCTGCTGGACCAGAGGATGGCTTAGCCTTAGGTGTATGCCACAGGTGTCCTCTGATCTCCACGTGCATGCCACGGCTCACATGTTCCCACACACATACAAAATAAATAACATGTAAAAATATGTTTGAAAAGCTGATTTCTCCTAAGGAACAAATTATTTAAAGAATATCTAATAAGCTTTCAAGCACTGACGCGTTTCTTTGTCCTTCCCCTTCCTTCCTTCCTTCCTTCCTTCCTTCCTTCCTTCCTTCCTTCCTTCCTTCCTTTTCTCTTTGTATCTCTCAGTCTGCCTCCTCTGTCTCTTCCCTAAGAAGGCAAAAGCTTTGGAAGGAAAAGTATACTTGGTCTGTGTACTTCAGGAGGCTAACAAGGAAGCTTGAAACAGATGACTAGGTCATAGTGGTGCTTTTCCCTTGTCTCTGTCTGGTGGTACAACTGAGGCTCCCCGGGGCGTGGGAGGGCAGTTCATGGGTGGGGAAGAGAAGACACATGTTTCAACTGGCGGTGGCGATCAGAGGAGCTTCATCCCTTACCTCATGTGCTCTGACTCTCTAGACAGCAGACTCAGGTGGAGTCCATCTGGAATGCTGACCTGTCCACTTCAAGCTATCCGATAATGGAGAAGACATCTTTGAATACGCTCTGGACACAGCTGGGAGGGTACCCGGATATTCCCCGGCTGCTGCAGTTAGATATTCAATGGACCTTCAGAAAAGCTCTTGCTTCCCTTCGGTCACAGTGAGTAAAGGTTTGGCCCCTCTGCTGTCTTTCTAGCTTGACTTTCTCTGTAGCACCAAGGAATACCAAAGTAAGTATTTGGTGAAAGCTTAGTTTAGACTCACAAAATACTCCAAATGGATTCGCCATTGGTCAGTGTTTCTCTACAGACCTAAGAAGTCAGCATTTAATGTCAACCCAACAGTTATACTGGAAGCATAGCAAGGCTGGGGAGGAGTTCAGCTTAGAATTCCGTCCTGAGATTTGTCGCTGCTGGCACCAGGCAAAGCATGGTGGGGGATGCATTTTCCACACCATGATCTAATAACATGACCGTAAATGCAGCTGATGCTATTTGCCTGCTTCTCCAGCTCCTGGGAGGCTGAAGTGGTCAACTCAACTAAGCTCGTGAGTTTGAGACCAGCCCTGGACAACATAGTGAAGCCAGCAGTGATGGCACACACCTTCTCAGAGTTTAAGGCTAACCTGATCTCTGTGGCAAGTTCCAGGACAAACAGGGCTACAAGGTCAGACAGACAGACAGACAGACAGACAGAAAATACATAGAGCTTAGTGTGTAGTGGCATGTTTGTAGTCCCTCGCAGAGGTTAGTGTGTCGGCGTATGTGTAGTCTCTGCACAGAGGTTAGTGTGGTGGCGTGTGTGTAATTGCGCTCAGAGGTTAGTGTGGTGGCGTGTGTGTAGTCCTGGCACTGGCAACTGGGGCAGAGCAGGGTGAGGCGCTCACAGGGCTCCATAGTTTGAGTCTGTTGCACCACACTCTCATTTAAGCCCCAGGAAGTTCCCCAGGGAAAGAGTGACAGTTTTGGAGTTGCTTACTCCTTTCAGGATAGTTATTTAATATTCTAAACCAAAACTTCAGAAAATTGAACTTTTTTCCCTAGAGTAGTTCATGAGGGGTTATATTTGTTTTGTTAAATCCAAGTCCTGCAGTAGTGTTATTCATAAATGTTTATTTATCAGATGGCAGTCATTATAAAATAAGACATTTAACATCATAAGGCTGGGTATTACTCCTATAACCCCAGCATTTGGGAAGCTGAAACAGGAGAATTTACAAGAGTTCAACAACAGTCTGGGCTCCATAGCAAGACCTTGGCTGAAGAACATAAACTGCGGAGCTCTGGATAGAGTGCTTGGAGGCCCCGGATTCAGCCCTCAGAACTGGGAAAGAAAATAGATTCTCTAATACAAGGCTGGAGATGCGTCTCAGTGGTAGAGTGCTTGCTCGTGTGCCCCGGGCCTTGGGTTCCATCCACAGCAGGGCAAAACAACAATAAATTAAATAATGTATGGAACATAAAAACACGTGTCATAGCATGGGATTATCCCAGCACTCAGCGAGCCGAGGTAGGAGGCCAGCTTTGCCTGCAGAGTGAGATCATGTCTCAAAGGCAAACACAGAGGCTGGAGAATGGGTCAGTTGATACAGTGCCTGCCAACATAGAGCCTGAGCTCTTGTGGGGGCCCCAGTGTTGGAAGAAGATGAACGGGAAAATTTACCTCCTCTCTCTCAAAGGGCAAGATCTGAGTATCCCAGAGTCCTGGTGAAAGAAACATCCAGAAATATGACTTATCTGTCTAAAAAGATGTATAATCTACATTGCTATTAGATTATTTTGACAAGAAATAAAGGGGATTCCTCCTTTAAACAAAACATAAAAACAACCTAGTTTGGGTCCCTAGCACACTTGCAAAAAACCTGGGCATGGCACCACGTGTTTGTAAGCCCAGCCCTGAGAGGAAGGGGGAGGAGACAGGCAGATCAACCAGCCCATGAACTGCTGAGCTCCTTGTGTCAAGTGAGGTGGCAAATGATCAAGGAAGACACCTGGCTGTCACTCTCTGACTCCACATGCACACACATAGCACACACAGAAAATACATTAAAAACTTTAAAAAAGCAAAACCAAGTCATATATATGACAAGTGTATATATATATACACACTTATATATGCAGAGAGAAAGTGACATATGTATTAGAGCGCACATATGTGAAGAAAAGGAGCCAACAGACATGACTCCTGTAGTTCCATCATTTGGGAGTAGAGGCAGGAGAATCAGTCCTCAAGGCCATCCTCCGCAGCGTAGTAATTTCAAGGCTTGCTAGTGTTGATTTTAGAATCCCCTAGGAGGTAGTGAGGCCATCTTCAGGTTCTTTGTGGGAGGTATTGCCAGGAAGAATTCACTGAGGAGGAAAGAGTCTATATATTTTCTGTCAGGTATTTTGGTTCGGGGCTCAGGAAGTAACTGACTAAAACAATGAAAGTGGGAGAGAGTGGAGGAGAAAGGGAGGGTAGGTGGGGGAGAGAGCGAGCCAGTGGTCTGAGATGATGCAGGGTTTATAGGGTGTGGAGCATGCACTTGGGGAAAGGGGGGACAGTGGTGATAGTCACATTGGCCTTAAGTGATGAAGGTGATTGAAGGTGGGGGCCACCTGTTTCTGGAATGTGGGTGGTTCCCAGTTGACTAATACTCAGACAGAACATTTGACTCCCAGTTAGTGGTGCTCTGGGGACAGGTTCAGGAGTTGCAGAGGAAGTGAGTCAGTGGGGGCTGGCTTGGAGGGTTTCTAGCCTGCCCCTCCTTCCTGCCCTCACTCCGCTTCATGCTTGTGGTAAAGGATGTGACTGCTAGGCTTCCTGTTCCGGCTGTCATTCTTGCCTCTACTTCTGTGCCTCCGTACTGGGATGGACTCAGCCCTCTGGAACCATAAACCCTCTTATAAGTAGAGGCTTCCTTTTGTGAGTTGTCTTGGTCATGGTGTTTTATGAAAGAAACATCCAAGTAGTAAATTCAGAGGAAGCAGGCACCAGACAGCGGGCTACTGCTGTGGAGAACCTGGCCATGTTTGTTTGGTTTTGGTTTTTATTGTTTTGAGGAATGTATAAGGCTTTGGAATTTTGGACTTGAAAAGCAACTAAGCACTGTAAACACAGCTTAAAGGGCCATTCTGGTAAGACCTTGGGAGAGAGCAGTGCTGAGAGCCACGTGGACTTTGGAGGCCCAGTGCAAGAGGTGTCTTAGGGGCACAATATTGGTCACCGGGAAAGAGGTCATACCTGTGATATTCTCACAAAAAACCTAGATGTCTTCTGCCCTTGTCCTAACAACTTGCCTGAGGTTAAATTTAAAGAAAAAAATGGACTAATTTCTTTGGCAAAGAAGGCACTTGAGGACAGCATAATGTTGAAACTGTGGCATGGCTGTTACTGATTTCCTTACGCCAGTCTCCACTGAAAAAGAGCAAGCGGAGCAGAAGAAAAACAAACTGCACAGTCTGGAGAGGAAAGGCACAGCAGGAAACGGAATGCTGCAGCCAGGGCTCCTGGCAGAGAGGCTGCAGTTATTAAGGAGATTGGCAGCTCTAAGGAGAGGCCTGCTCTGCACTGGAACAAAGGGAAGGCTTCACCAGGGCAAGACCCCATTTAGCTAAGCTTCTGATTTGTGAAAGCGAGCACCAGACATCATCTGCTCCTAGAAGTCAATCAACTGAGTCAAAAAGCTGCCACTAATGTGGGTCAAGAGGATGTGGTTCTGACCCCAGCTGGCGGCTGAACTTAGTAATGTCCATGTGTGTTGGCTTTAGAGCCATGGAGATGGAAGATCTGAGGGGTCGTGGACAAGTCACAGACGTGCATCCTTCTCTGTTAGTCTTTGTTTGTTTGTTTTGAGACAGGGTCTCTGATCGCTGCAAAACCCTAACAGTGATCCTAGTAGTTTTAACTCTGTGGTCTGAGGTGGGCCTGGTAGCACCCACGTGAGTTCTGAGACAACATAATAAGGCCCAGCAGTGAGAGAAGAGGAAAGGGAGGAGAATAGAGGTGAGGAGAAGGGAGAGGATGGGAGAGGAGAGGGGAGGAGAAAAAAGGAGGGAAGGGGAGAGGAGATGGGAGAGGGGAGGGTATGAGAGGAGAGGGAAGAGGAGGGGAGGGGAGGGGAGGGGAGGGGAGGAAAGAGATGGGGAAGAGACCAGCACAGTAGCACATGCCTGTGATTCTGTCCTTTGGTACAATGGTTCTCAATCTTCCTAATGCTGCCACCTCTTCCTCCTGTTGTCTGTTCCCCCTGTTGTCGTGACCCCAACCGTGCAATTATTTCATCCCTACATCATAACTGTAATTTTGCTACTGTTATAAATTGTAATGTAAATATCTGTGTTTTCCAGTTGTCTTAGATGACCCCTGTGAAAGGGTCATTCAACCTCAAAGAGGCCATAACCCCCAGGTTGAGAGCCTCTGCTATAGTAGGTGTAGGCGGGAGGGTCAGGAATTCAAGGCCACTTTCAGCTGCCTGGAGAGCTTGAGGCCATCCTGAGCGACTTCGGATCTGTCTCAAGAAAACAAACAAAAATTAAGATGAAGGAGAAAGAGAAGGATTCATTTCCCACCTAATGGCTGCTAATCTCTGCCACGTCCAACACACGGGTCTCTTCAAACAGTGGTCTGGCCTTTTTATGGTCAAAGTGCGGACTTGGTGTGGCCAGTGAAAGTCCAGCAGAGACGTCGTACGAGCGTGGTGGTGAAGTGGGGGGAGGCCCTCCACAGTCTCTTTGTCGAGCCTGCACCCCAAACTGTGAACCCCATCCCTGCTTCCTGGCTTCTGCTCTCCTTTGGGTTCCCTCCTTAGATGGGACTGGGGGAAGCTGCAGTTGGGGACTGCCTCTCCCTCAGGCGGTCTAAGCTCAGGAAAACAGTTCTTTTGGGGAAAACCTTGAGAAGAAGCCTATTCTGGCTCTTTTTAAATGACCGTTTTTACCCTCCCAGTGGCAGCGCAAAGACAGAAGAGAAGATGGCAGCCTGTCTGGGCCCCCTCCCTGGGGCCCACTGGTTTCTGCTCTGTTAAGTCATGATTTTCCCTATCTGCCCTTCCATCTCTCCGTGTGGGCAACAGCAGCTTGCCCTGTGCCCTCCTCATTTCTTTCTCAGATCCCTATCCTTCTTTTCAGGTTTTTACTTGTTAGATGGGAACACTCACTTTTGTGTTGTGAGTTCTGAAACAGGG